AATGCCGAGAGGAAGCAAGAAGACAAGAGGCACATTTAGCGCCCATGGGTTCGTTATAAAGCTTGCATTCGACATTTTGACCCGGCCAAAACGGGCCAATTGTAATGTTTGCAGCCATCCCTGCTACTCGCGCTTGCGCAGCTGCTTGGCCGTGCGGGAGAAGCGCACTTTTGGCGGTTAATCAGTCGCACGCGGCGAGTCGTCCCGAGTTGCGCGAGTCAGGCGTCGCTCGAGAGCCCAAATTGCATATCACGTTTATCACAAGTATTCATTTAAGTTCGAAGGGTAGATAGCGCGGCCGGTACTTTAGTACATGAGTGCGAGGGGGGCCTCGAGCCCACGTCGCTACGAGAATAACGACCTGGTGTGAGAACGAAGAGGCCGACATACGCAGCGGCATGGAGCTGCATACACCGAAACGTAACAACGCGACCGCCGGCGAATCCATGGGTGGCTGCGGCAGCCCGCCAATGTGCGACACTATGCTTTATCCGTGGAATTGGGGCGAGGAGGCGCGCAACGTTAATTTGAGCCCCGGGAGTTCGTGCTCCTCGCCGGAATACATCAGCGGAAGCGGCGGGGGCGGGGGCTCCGCTGGAGGTCGGGTTCAACGGGACTCCGTGGACCGTGAACATCCTAGCGATGATCACCATCAACACCACCATCACCATCATCATCACCACCATCATCACCATCGGGGCTCCTCTTTAGAGTCGCATAGGCGCGGTAGACCGAGGGCCGACGCTCTCACGAATCTTATGATGCAAGGCAGCACCTCGCCGTCAAGCATCAAGTGTACCTATTGTAACCGGGTGTTCCCCCGAGAGAAGAGCCTCCAAGCGCATCTCAGGACACACACTGGTGCGTATGCCCGGTCCCTTTCATTCATCGTTTCGATCTCGGTTGGGGGAATTGACGACGCCGGTCCTATCTTACACGCACGCGAGAAACATAACCTATGAAGTGCGAGCGTGTATGTTCGAAAACTTTCCGTCCTACTTTCGCTCTTAGCTGTATTCATAAGCGACTCTCCCTCTCTCTCTCTTCTACCTATTACCTGTGTACGGTCGTTCTATCTCCTCTTTTTAACGGATTTAATACCAGCGGCGATGGAATCAAATCCTTCCCCCCTCCCCCATTCCCGCGTTGGAATCGGCAATTCTGGAGGTTTATCTGGCCCAGGGTATATCGCTGCAAGATCAACGGAGATGAGCGTTTCTTTTTTCTTTTATTTTTTTCCTTTTTCTTTCATAATGGCGGTGGTGGCGCCGACGACGCGAGCATGAGCACGAGGATGAGCGCGCGAAGAGAACACACAAGCGAGCGTCTCCCGCGCTTAGAGCGCCGTAGGAGTGAGAGAGTACAAGCGATGACGCGCGCGCGCGAATGCACGTATAGAAATTCCAACATGTCCGTTGCGCCCTCATCTTTACATAGTCACTCTATGGGTCGTAGCACTCGCTTCTCTGTCTCACTTCTATTCACGTACAATGTTTTTCATAAAGGGCACGGTTGATCGAGGGAGAGAGACAGTCGTCAGCCCCTGTTGCTCTTTAATCAGGTCAAGCCGGGGAAATATATGTCGATTGGTCTCCCACTCTCCCTTGCAATAAAAGTCGACTTAGTACATGAATTTACAGCTGGTCTGTCGTCACATTTTTAATATTTTTTTTATTTTTTTGAGCGATATTTATTCACCAATTTACCTGATTTATACGAAATATATAGGAATTCTTTTCAACTGTGTCTTCATTCCCATAATGTACGTCGCTTCAACTCGATTTCTTTTATTATATAAGTTTGGTAAATAATTGTTGGAAAATGCGCACAGTTTGACAGTCAAAATAAATAATTATAATTAATATGCCAAAATAGGATATAAGAAAACAAATGCGGGTTACTTTTAGCCAGTAAAGAACACAAACAATTTGAATAATTTATTGCATTATTTGTCCTTATAAAAATAAGTCGTATTGTTACAGGTGATTGTTTCGAAGATATTTTCCGAGTATTTTTTTTTTAAATAACAAACACATTTGTCCAAAAACATTGCGGATGACGATGGGTCTTTAAATTCCCCGTAAATCGCAGATGAGTATCATATCATTCCTTCAATTAATTGGTAACGATAAGAACATCGCACACACGAGGATTGTGTAAAAAGATGCAAGAGGCGACAGGCTTTTTCTGTATTTTCCTTTGTTCTCTTATTTTTGTCGTCGCTTTCCTTTTACTTCCTCGAATCGCAATTACTCGCATTACGTTTTGTTTTTGTTTTGATTTTTCCTCGTGTGCTTTCTTCCTAGGAAAAAAAAGAAGAAAAAAAGCGATCGCGCGTGGAGATGTAAAGACGCTTGACGGCTATTGCGCGAACGTTTGGCGAGGGGTAAATTCTTTAGGGTGCACATTACGGTGAGCGATTGGTGTGCTAAGAAGGGTAAAGAGAGGGAAGGAGAACTACTGCGTTGCGTTTCTTTGTTACGCGCCACAGCATGTGGGGCTGGATTTTCCGAGGGAACGCGTGCACGCGCAAACTTTAGAGGTCGCGTGGGCCAAACAACGCATTTATAACGAACATTGAATTTTACTTTATGATTTCCTTTCGCTGGCGCATCTTTGCTCCACATATTTCAATTTCATTTTTATAAACAACGTAACCACGTGCTTTATTGGAAAGTAAGAGCACCTCACAAAATGTTCATAAAAAATTTTTAAAAAGTAAGACCTGGCAATGAGAAATTATCATGCCGTTGTCTTGCATAATTAAAATGGAAAGAAGTTGAAACTTACGCGCAATGATAATTCAATCTTGTCGAAAGGAATATCTATATAAGATTTTTGGCAGATTATTCCTCTTGTGTAAGCTTAATAAATTGAGGTTGGCTGCAGCACGGCCATTATTTATGAGATATTTTTTGCCTTTGGTTTTCGTAGGTGAGAGGCCTTATCCCTGTGACTATCCAGGATGTACAAAAGCTTTTACTCAATCCGGACAATTGAAAACTCATCAAAGATTACATACAGGAGAGAAACCATTTCTGTGCACGGTACCGGGCTGTGAAATGAGATTTACGCATGCAAACCGACACTGTCCGGATCATCCTTATGCGACGCTTACGCGATCTGATGACTTTGTCCTGAAACCAGTCTCGGGGAACACGGAGCTTCCGCACGATGTGACCCGATGGCTCGAGCGTTACAAAATGGCAAGGGAACGGGAGGACAGGACTCCTAGCAGCAAAAGTGAAAGAAAAAAAAAGCAGTGGAAGAATAGCGGCGACAGCCACAAGAGAATAAAGTCGAGGAAAGGCCTCGTAATGGATACGGTTGTAGAGCAGGAGAACCTTGATAGGGCACCACAGAGCCAGAGTCGACTGTACTGCAGTGAGAGCCAAGACAGCCAAGATGAGAGTCAGGACGAGGATCCGACTGAGACTTGCGCTATACTTCAGACATCCGAGGACGAGGAGGCAACAGGAATCAAGTTACCCATCACTCCTTTACGAAGGCCTTTCGATAGATTGCAACCGAAAAAGCGGTGGCTGAGGGAAGCCTGTCTGGAGCAGCAGTTAGCCAAACCTCTCAGGTGGGACCTCCATCCAACCAATAATTGTCATCGGATCACGGAAGAGCTCAACACGTCCTCGCAGTGGAGCTTGTCTGAGTCCCAACTGCCAAATCTTTGTGGCATCGTTCGACACGAGAGTGAATTAGCACCGATGATCACAGAGCAAAGTTTACAATTGCAGAGTACGAAGGCAGTTGCTATTAACGAGGACAAGAAGACCAATGGCACCAAGGTGCTTCACACAGAAAATGAGACAAGGCCTACAGTGCTTATGCTCGCAGGGAGAAATCAGGCGTCAAAATCGTGTGCCAACGAGATTGGTAACGCCGACATAAAGGTTATTGTCGTTAAGCAAGAAGAGAGTCCATTGAAACTGCCGTTACCCGAAGATAATCAAAAATGGCTTGGTGCCCTTGCATTAATGGAGCTGGCCAAGACACAAGAAGAAGCTGCACGAGCATTAAGAATATCCAGAGACTTGGATATGTACACGAGCCCGAATTACACTCATCTCTAAACTGTGATTATTTTTAGAGCTTGCCCAAATAATTCCTTGACCATACTCGTTAGTTAATTGTTTGTGAATGATCAATTCGCAGAGCGAAAGAGAGATTGTATCGGATCGTGCTTTATTGGCCCTTTACACACACCTAACCAAACTCTTTGATGTCTTATTATTTTTATTTTTTTTTTATTATTGACTATTAACAGCCTTACTTCATACTTGTATAATACCGATGTGAAGGGCCTAATGCTATTTGTAAGTTTTAAAATTAAGGTTGAACCTTGAAGATAAATGTTTGTTCACTGTAACTATACTCTTCATTATTTTGTTGAGTTATAGTAACGTATGACAAAAGTTCTTTAATATTTAAGGATAAGCGTTAAACATTTCGATCGATGCCAACGGGGAAATAGTTTCTTGTATTTTATGTGATCATAACGATAATGAGAATTGTAGGTGACCAAAAAAGCTTTTAAATGCAGCATTTTATTTAAAAAAAAAAAAAATACAATTTTAAGTCTCGCCAAAAAGATGATAGATAAAAGCAAACGGTTGTGTCATTACTATTAACACTCGAGTATTATAAGATGATAATATTGGCGTATGAGAGAATAAACTTTTGTGTGATAATATTCAGGTAATATGAGTACACCAGTTGTCTAATAAAACTGACATGGAAAAATCGAGCTTGTAAAGTATTTAACGGGAACAAAATTAGTCACTATTTATGTAAAGGTGTGTGATATAAAAAAAGTATGCAAGGTTTAAAGTCTATAGAGAATCATGAAGCATTGGAGCCTTTGATTATCTTGCTGCATTGCCTTATCACTCTTTTAATTTTTTTTACGAAATGTACATAATTCTTTATTTTAATAAAAATCCTTGACAACAATAATAATTTATATTCTTTCCTCACATAAAATATTTTTATTATAAATACTTCATTTGAATGTATGCATTCTTATTTTCTTTTTTTTAAAGGAGAATAATTTCTTTAGTTTATCACTACGATTATTAAAAAACTTATATTAGCTTTAATATTTTATTTTTAAATTGAAAGAATTTTGTTCAAATCACTTTTTAAAAAACTTTATTACATATAACTTAATTGTTTCTTTTTGCATTTTGTAGTTTCACAGCTTTATATTTAAAGGTTTGTATAATAAGATGTAAAAATAAATACACAGCACATGTAACATATTACATATAATTATTTTTAAAAAATAAATGGTTCTTTTTTTAATGTTTGTGAGTTACTTAATTTTTACGTGTTATTAAATTTTACCGATTATTTTCAATTTTTTGCACGAGTTGAACTAAATAATCTTCCTCTTCATGTGCTCCGTCATTCTCATTAGCAGCATCTTCATCATCTTCCTCTTCATCCCCTGCATCTTCCATGATTTCTACACTGTCGTCACCCTCTTCTCCTTCACCTACATCGTCACCGTCTTCATCCGCACCATCTTCATCTTCCTCCTCTTCTTCTTCACTATCTACTTCTTCACCATCACCATCGCCTTCAATGCCATTTTCAATTTCCATATCTGGTGCCAAATAATACTAGAAAAATATATTTCTTATTTAATTTTCCATTTTATATGCGATACATGTCTACATTTATAAATTTAAATACTTTAAGCAAATTAATATTTGTATGAATGATACAGAAATAATTTTATAACTATTTTTAAAATACTGTTTCAAATTTGTTTAATATTGTCTTAAAGTTATATTCATTTTTTTCTCTGCTAATGTAAAGAATTATTGGTATAATTTATTTATTTTTTAACTATTTTGATGTAATTAACAATAATTCTAAGTAATGTTTAAGAATATTTGAAAAGATACCTGTAAAGGATTTGGCCAAAGATCATCTTTAATAAGTTCAGCAATCTCATCCGAACTTGGATCTCCATGATCCGTAAACCAATCAAAAAATGACCTATGTCCTAATGGCCTTTTCCTCACTTTCATCGCTGCCTTTGCTTTTCCTCGTTTAGATAAATCAGCACCATCTTTCCAACGGATATTTGTACTTTGAGATGCTGGATCACCTAATAACAAGATTTTTATATGAAACAAATTATGACAATTATAAGTGCAATTCGACCTCGAGCCATCACTTTATACATGGCTGAGAGGTCTGCTCACCAGACGAACCGAGGTGAAATTCCTTGGTAAGTACATCATTCTCAAAGTATGGATTTTCATCAAAATAAAAATTAATTCGATAACCAGATTTAATATCTTCAAATTCTTCTACTTCTAGTTTATTCAAGTAACGTAATGCATCTTCTTCTTCTTCTTCTAAAATATCAGCTATTTTTTTATTATTGACAAACTATGAAAATAATTAAGGAACTATGACATATGATTAATTAACGATATTAACATTTGCACATTATTTTAAACAAAAATGACAATAAAAGAATAATAAAAGAATGTTGTAAATATTTATTCAATATTTATAATTTATTGGATATCATTTATTTGTGCATGTTGTTTTTAGGTGACATGCCTAAGTTATAAAATGATTATTTTTATTAAATGTAAATAGAGTAATGTTAAGCTTTTCGTATAGGTTAAAAAAGATTGTACAGGACAATTCGGAATTTTATTCAATGATTTTAATAATAGAATTTCAGAATCCTAATAATTCACATGCAGGAAGTTTTGAATTTTATTATTGCCTGGGTAATTACAAATTCTACTGAGTGTAATTTTGTAAGTGCCTGTATTTTATTAAAATTAGATAAGCACAATCTACAGAGGAATTTTTGCATATTTTTTTGCTATATGCAAAATAAATTTGCAAGTAATACAAGGTATTACATCAATGTAGGACATTAAATTCAAATAGACATTCAAACGAATAAATACAGGCAGGGGGTAGCAGAGAGGGAGGGCGGAAATAAATAAGTTTCGTGGGAACCTGCTCCGAAACTTCTTGTCCTGCATGATCTTTAAACCATGAGCCAGAGCTCGAACTTTGAGGTAAGCAATAAAAGACATATATTGAACGCTTGTGTGCGCAAGCGAAGGTTGAGTTCGTAGTCCTGGTTGCAAAGATGGCGTCGAGCACCGGCGCGCTACGAACGCCGGCAAGTGTCGCGGTGCGCCGGGGACCAAAGAATTGAGGAGTGCGATGGGGATACGTTCGAGCAGGGGAAGCGGAGTCGAAGGCGTACAGCTGGTGCTGAACGAGCAAAAAGGATACGGCCGTCACCCAGAAGTTGGGTATCCTCTTAATGATGTCGTTACGCTTCTGGAAGTAGGGTTTCCGCAGCTTATTGTACTTTTTCTCGACCTCGAGAATCTCGTCGCTAGCCTTCTCATTCAGGCCGTCAATCTGGTTCTGGCAGCCGTCGATCTCTTCGAGGGCCTTTTGGATTTCGACGTCGTAATCGCGGCTTTCGGTGGCCCCGTCGCCGTCACTCCTGTCCGAGTCCTCGAGCTTCTTCACCTTTTTGCTCGGTGAGGACATGGCTCTGTCTCTCGCTCCCTCGCGCGCGCACTCGCACTCTCTCTCACTCTCTCTCTTTCTCTCCTTCTCCCTCTCTCACTTTTAGCGTGCTCGTCGACTATCGAGTCCGGGGTACGTACGCGGTTCGCTGCTGTCACTGCCACCGCCGCCACTCTCGTAGCTCTCAACGCCTCTGTTGCGGCGCGTACACCAACATACGAGTATCCTCCCAGCCAAACTCGAAACCAGTGTATGCGGATGCACGTAACACAACGATGGCGCGCGCGCGCGCGCGCCCCCACACCTCACCGTAAGTTGCGTCGTCCCGCGCGCGCGTTCCTATACCTTCCTGCGCGCGTGTGCGATGCGCCAGTCGCCGGATTCTTCCTTCGGAGTATAAATATTTGGCTATGTCATGAACTGGAATGAGATTGTAGCGCAACACCGTGGCGATTTCGTTAACTATTTACTTGGGCGACTCTTTGGGATCTGCTGAATGGAAATATTGCGCTTTACGTGCACTTTTAATTACTTTTATTACAAATCTTTAGCCAGATTGTGATGATACCTGTTTAGCGATTGTTTGTGCAAAGTAAATCTCTGCTCCCCATTCTTCACATCCCGATTGATGGTAATATGCTTTGACGTTAATCTATCGTTGTATCCACGGATTACCTTTTCATTTCTCCTTTAAATACAATTTATTGTTGGACTACTTCATGTAATGTATCGAATTGTCATCCTATCCAATTATGTGTTTAATATAGTACTTATGCATTCACGCATGCGTGCATTGACAAACAATTATGAAGAAATGACGGTGATTTTGTTATTCAAAATAACCATCAATCGGGAGCATTTATTCTCAAAGACAGAAAAATATATCGAATCTTAAATTGGTGTGTGTGTTATTTCACCAACAAGAAAAATTATGTTAATAGTTCTACTTATTTATTGATTTCTTGTATCCTTGTCGATGTTTCTTAATTCCATTTAAAAGAAAAGATTTATTTTTATGATTAATATATTACAATTGATAATTGATATATTATTTTGATAATCTGAAGGTAATAAAAAGAGTAATACATCTATATTATAATTAAAATTAAATATTCAATCATATTCGATTAACGAAAATAAATAAAAATTCGAAGCTCCTGTGACTTTACATATTATATTTCAGAAAATTCATTTTAAAGATATTACCACCAGGTAGCACCACTGTTATGTTACGTACCAATTACTACATAGGCAGGCTTGAATACTTTCAGAGAAACACAAAAAATTAAATTAAAAATGGCGAAAAGTAACAGTATTATCTGCATACCTGTTTTTATTATATCCGGGTTATATATTTTCGGATAAGCAAAGATCTTTGAGAAAGTATTAATTATTTAGATACTGCAATTCCAATAATTGTGTTTTATCGTTCAGCGTTTATTTGAAAGCAATATATATATATATATATTATCGATCAAATATAAAAGGTTTAATATAAGAAAAAATTCTAATGTATATATTTCTATTTATTCATAAATAAGCGTGATATTAAAAATGATACAGTATAATTAATTTTTCTTTCAATTCGATCTTTAAGCTAGAAAGTAGTATTTTAAAAATTTTAAAGTAGTATTTTAAAATAATTTAATTATTAATTTCAGAAAATTATCATGTAACATATTTTTTTTTTATATTCTAAAAATTTTACAAATTTTTTTAATTCTCTTAATACTATACTGTTATGATTGCTTAAGTTATCTGATAATAATGTATTCTATTCCATAAAATGTAGTTTTATCAAATTTTCTAAAATATTCAGTTTTTAAATAAATTTACAAGTCTGAATATTTTAAAGAAAAACCTATTTCTTATTATATCCCATTGAAATTTAACTAATATGTATAAGATATTTTTAAGACTACCTTTACTTAACTTCAAATAAAAATTTCGGTTATCTTTATATTTTATTTAAACACCTATAGTATAATAATTCTGTTTGTTTATTTTATACATTAATATTACGAAAGCGATGACGATTGCAATTATTATTTAGTAAAGGAAAATTTTGAAAAGAAAATTTAAGAAAGCTTTTATTATTTAGGCTTATTTTATTTTAAAGTCATAATTTTAGAATGAATTTCAGAAGTATATATAAATTTAACATTCTATATATCTTTTTCATATTTATATTGAATAGAATATTTACAATTATATCCAATACAAAATTGATTTGATACAATGAACACTCATTTCAAATTTTCCTTTAATATTTACTAATAATATAATAATAATAATAATATTATATTATTTATTTATTTATTTATTTATGCATATTAAATATTTACTTGTTTGCATTGAATATAAGATGACTCTTAGAGGCCTATATTAAATAACTAATATTAAAAACTATTGATTTTATATGCTAAGCCTAGCCATGCAATTATGATATTAACCGCAGTAGAAAACATTTATCTAATTTTTCTATTTCTCATTTTTAATATTGAAATTTAGTTAAAAAATCAGAGATAAAGAAATAAAATTTTAAATACAATCTTTTTTGCAAGTGTAATAAATGTATTTGCATAATAAATATGCAGAATATCTGGTACATTTCTTATTATTGCAAGATTACACGAATTTCTAATATTAAAAAATTTGTACAATAATTTTCTTTGTGTGTATTCTATTTTTTTTCCTATGTCTAGGGTCTCGTGTAAATAAATAATCTGTTATTCATATATTTTGACGTCAATGAATTATGCAACCAAATCTTGGTTCTGCATTGATGGTTGATTAACAGTTTCGAAATTTAAAGCGGCTTTTAATGTTTAGAATATTGTAATATGTACATGATTCTTGCAAGTATGGTGTATTGTCCAAGTCATAATTATTTTATTATCTCAATAAATTTTTCTTTCTAAGAATATAGTATAATTTTAAAGCCATAGTATAGATAATATAAATATATAAAAATTGTTGTTATTTATTCATTTGTGTTTATATTTAATAAACTATATAAAAATTATTATTAAGGCTCATTTATCAATTAATATCATTGTATGTGTTTTGTTATTATCGTATCAAATATTGATAAGTTAAATTCTTTTTACTTCAAAGTCTCTAGTAAAGATTTCAATATTTTTACCATAACAAATAACATGTTATTAATACATTATAAATTTTAATTTATAAAATTATGAATTATTACTATTAAATCAACTACGTCGAACACAAAATTTCATATATTTAATTTAACAATATATATATATATATTATATTTTTTATATTATAATAAATTGTTTAATAAATTATTTTAGTTTCATTCTAATATATTTTGTTTTTAATATTATTTCAAATTCCATAATAATCGTTTGTTACTTTACTATCATTAAAAACATTTATTATAATTTTGAGCTGTGCATATGAAATGACAATATGACATTATGATTCTTATGTTCGTCTATGGAATAAGAATAGTGAAAGGTTTCTTTTATAATTTATCATAAAGCTCTTCACAAGGAATTTATCATTTATTATATGGTAATTTAAGTGGTATTAGTAAACAAATCTATAATATATAAAACAGAATATTTCAATTATCGATTGCTGTAAATCTTTATAATTAATCTCTTTTTCTATTTGCATACATCACGGATAATTTGTATTATATATTAAATTAGATATGGGTAATATTAGAATAATAGCCAATAAACTTTACGAATAAACGAACTACAAAGATTAATCGAGGCTATTGTTTTTCAATTATTTCATGGATTTATATAACAACATTTATTTAAATTTTTAATTTTATTTGTATATGCCTTTTAATTCAAAGATATTAACGAGCGAACAAAAATTTTTATATTCTTTTCTTTGGAAAATTATTTACGAATGTAAAATACAGCAGTAATTTTTCACAGTTACTACACTTAAAATACATATAAAAATTCTTATATAAAATTTAATATTATATGAAAAATCTTGTTACAAAATTATATTACATTATCCATTTGGATGACATCTTAATATGTAATAACATTTCTAATGTATTAATTTTTCTAATACGATGTTTATCATTATTATATTATTAACAATAGCTAATTAAAATTTATTTCAGTCACATGTAATTATTATATTATCAACAAAGAAAAAAATAAAAAAACGAAATCATGAAAATCTAAAAAAATCTGAATCATACAAATTTATCATAATAAATTTATGCGATATTAATACATTTAATACAGATATGACAGTAGTTTATGTATGAATATTTGTCAACTATATTGAATAATAAATATACTAACATTATATTAATTATATAATCGCTGAATACATATTACATTAAATTAAAAGAAAATTGTGGTTGTGTTCGTTTTAGATTTGTGATTAAAGTAAGTATTATTCATAACAACATAATTATTAAATATATTCTTATTATATTCTTAGAATATGAACAAAAGATATTTTAAAATAATATAAACATAATAAATAAATTTGCACTACAAGAAGTTATCCCAAGAATAAATAAACATTTGTAGTTTTCATGACTGATATTCTATGGATAAACCAAATGTTCATTTACATTCTAGCAAGATTAATCGTGAATACAATTGAAACTACAAATAGAAATTTACTATATGTAAGAAAATCTTTTTTTTATAATTAAATTGCAGTTATGATTACTTAGGTATGATTTATTTTTGATTCATTATTAATTATTTGCTTCGTATTTTTTGTTATCAATATTTAATTATTTAATATTATCTAATATTTATATTTGCTTATTGGATGCTACTAATTCTCATGAAATTATTATTCGTTTTAAAAAATTCGAACGATTCTTTCGTGTACAAGCTGAATTAAAAAAATGTTCATTTGTAGGATATCAATTTATTTGTATAAAAAATAGGAATGATCTAAATCATCTAAATTTAAAGATAAAAGATAAAGTATTTAATTAATAATTTTTTAAGCTGTAAAAGTTATTGGATAATTTCTATATAACAAAATTTATCAGATGGAGATAAGCATATATTAGAAAAATCTCTATATTTAAAATCTTAATATACT